CATGAATTCTGTTACGTTGCTCCTCAAATGCAGATTTGAAAATCGACACTGAGTGCTCTAAAATTTTACAAGCCTGTTAAAGATACAAAACACCAATGTGAAATTAACAAAACATTTGTTGTCACGGTTTCCTTTCCTTCATTATCTGTGAATTATAGTACTGCAGAACTTCTTTATTATTTCTTATTTCTGCTTGCACCTACAGTATATAGGCTGTTCAATCAATCATTCACTTAAAGTCTTTGACAGATGTAAAGAAATCAGAGTACCCCCAAAAAAGCCATGTGAACACTTAAAGAACATGCAAACTCCACATAGATCGGTACCAAAGGATGTAAAAGAACTTTGAATACTGAAGCCATGAGAAAGAAGTGCTAACTACCAGGGAACAAGTAACAGGTATATTCCATGCTGAAAAGAGAAGAAAGAAAACACAACATTTCGGCTGTGGAGCCTTCTTCAGGTGTGAGAAAGACAGGGTAGTAAGCAGAAGTAATGTAGCAGGAGAACAAAAACTGGGAGAGATGAGGAGCGGGAGGCAGGGAGTGGGAGGCAGGGTACAGAAAGAGAGGCCAATCAGGAGGTGTGAAATTAAACCTACAATGAATAGAGAGAATTTAGAATAAAAGTAGTCTGTCGTTAAGAGAAGGGGGAAGGTGTGATCCTAGCTGTAATTTTAGTTTCTGTAGTCTTTCTGATGTATGAGTTCGGAAAACCGTCTTTGAGAACACAGACGGAGAGATTAGTGTGATCATGGCCGTTAGAGGTGAAATCAGAAAAAATGGGCTTGGAGGAATCTTTAATCTTCATTTGCAGCCTACATATGCTGACGCAGCTCCCCACCTATGCTAACTACCATGCCATTGTACAGCCCCATTTTAGCAATAAGCTTTAAAACATAATCACATCAATATATATATTATAAGTGTATACATTTACCAATGCTTCCTTGTTTTCGCCATCTCCTCCTAATGTAGCCTTCTCGAGACACATGGTCACTCTGAACCAGAAATTTTCATCACCACCAATATTTTGTGCCTCTTCTAACAGTGCTTTGGCTTGACTGTGATTCTTTTCATAATTGGCCAAAACAGCAAAAAGAAGTAAACATTGTGCTTCTGCAGATTTGTCATGAAGTTCCTGCAGAACACCACAGATAACCTTTGAAACCTTTAAAACTCTTTTCTATCAGAGTTAAACAATTATTTAAATGGACTTAAACATTTGCAAAAGCAGAAAAATTGAAGTTATATTTAGCTACAGTAAATTCAACCACCATGCCTACTATCTGAAGGACACAAACAGCACCATGATTACACTTCAAAACATGTCAACAATAATTTACTTACCCTGGCAACCATATGGGCTTCAGACAACAGCAATCTTGCTGGTTGGTATAAACCCATATCAAGTAATATTTCAGCCTTGTCAAGCCACACATCATGAACACATAATCCACTTAATTTCTTTCTCCCAAGGAAATTATTTTTGTCATAAAATACTTTCTGAGGAAAAATAGAGTTAGAATAGGTTTGTTTTTTGCCTACTTATTTTAGAAGAGGAACAAAAGTGTAACATAAGATATAAATCAAATTGGTAGGCTTTTTTAATCTGGTTAGTACAATTGAAACTGAAAACAATGATGAGAAGACTTACTTTGCCTGTATTGTTTTCAGGGGGATTCATCTTTGCTCCATCTGTCTCCTTCTGCAAAGCAAGACTTTGTCGACACCTGGAGAAATATTACATGTAAAACATTTAACAAATAAACAGAACTCAGAATTCTGTTCAGAATTCAGATTCAATTGTAATAGATTATTGACATCTAAGATTAGATTTATCTGACTGATAACTGCAACCTAAATACAAAAGAACAGGCAAACTTGACTGATGAGTTAGAAAAATACAAAAATATCACATCTTTTTTTTTTTACTCATGGAAAAGACACTTGATAGATTGATTTGAAAATAGATACTTCATCTGTTCCTCTTCATATATGAATACTGCTCCAACAACTTTCTCATGGTATGCTGCAGACAAATTTAGGCCAAGCTGTGAAGACGTTTTTGCAACTCTGAAAAAAAGAAAAAAAGAGGTTATTACTGCAGAAATCGTTAACCTACAAAATTATAAATTCAAAATATTATTTGTATTAACTTCCACACAGCAAAGAATACTAAATATAACCTTATAAAGCATTTGTGAATGAGAAAACATTCAAAACAACATATTGAGTCCTATTAACACAATTTATTG